TCAGCGGGTTCCGTCTGGGCTTGGTGTGGGGGAGGGGGAGCAGTTCCCGGGGCCCCGGGCCCCTGCCCAGTGGGGGCCCCATCCAGAGCCTCTGGCCCTGACCCCCAGCCCCTCCTCCTTTGCTCCCTGACCCCTCAGCCCAAAGGGGAGGAAGCCAGACCTTCCCAGGCTGCCACCCGGTGGCTCCTTTCCCCTCCGTCTCCAGTGAGGGCTCTGGGGGCCCAGCCCAGCATAAGGGGCAGTGGGGGGCCCTGATCATGATGGGAGTGGGCAGGGCTGCCAGGGCTCAGATCCTCCTCTGCCCCCGGGAACTTGAGGCTCAGACCCCAATTCCCAGGGGCCAGTGGCCCTGGCTGGGGTGGGGGGCGGGGCCTGAGCAGGCCGGGTCAGAGCTCAGCCGTCCTGCTTCAGGCCCGATGGCGATGGGCCGAGTGGTCGGATCTGTGCCGCACTCAGCACGGCCAGGGGTGAGCCAGGGGGGAGGCGGGGGGAGGGGGTGTGAAGGGTTAAAGAAGACAGACGAGGATAAAGCTGGGTCTGGGTGGGAGGCTGCTCTCGGACGGAGAGACAGGCCACGGCCTGCGAGCCGAGTCTTTATTTTATAGCAGATTCCACGGGGCAAAGCCAGGGCGGGCCAAGATGTTTACAACGTTCTCGCGGGTTTCGAATCCACTCAATTACCTGCACCTGGTTGAGCTTTGTCTCCTTGCTGCGCCTCCCGCAGCCCACACCCCTCAGCCACGTGGGCCCACAGGTGTGGACCATACGGTCAGAGGCCACGGCCTGCGAGCCGAGTGTCATGGTGCTGGGAGGGCTTTGCCCTCCAAGCTGGGACCTGCACGTGGCTTTGCCACCAGAGGACCTGCCCTCTCATTAGTCCGAGGCTTGAACCTGTGCAAACGCTGGAGCCGCTCTCCACAGGCTCCACCCAGGTCTCCATCATCCAGCCGCCAACTCGGCCCAACAGCCGGGACAGGAGCCGCTCCCCTGCGAGGTCCGTCAGTCAGGGGGGAGCGAGGCGGTGTGCGGGAGCGGGGTGCTCAGGAGACACCCGAGGGAGCCGGGGCGCAGGCAGGGCGGCTCGTCTCTGAGCCGAGGGTCGGGGTGACGGAGAGGCGGGTCGTCACCTCTGAGCCCTACAGTCACTGCTTCCGGGTCCCAGTTAAAGCGGGGACCCGCTTCCATAGGCAGCGCCTTCTCACCAGGAGCCATGCTTGTTACTGCCCGATGGACTGGAGAGCGGGGAGGGAGAAACATGCTCCACTCACGATGCCTCCAGTGGCTGCTCCTGGCATGTGCCAGCCGGGTCTAACCCGCAACCGGGGTGCACGGGGACCGCGCTCTACGACTGGGCCACCGGCCATGCTCACTAGCAATTCTTTTTTTTCTGTTTTAAACAATGGCGTGTTATTTTATTTTTAAAAATATTTGTATTGATTTCAGAGAAGAAGGGAGAGGGAGAGATAGAAACATTAATGATGAGAATCATGGACCGGCTGCCTCCTGCACACTCCCCACAGGGGATCGAGCCCACAACCCGGGCCTGTGCCCTGACCAGGAATCGAACTGCGACCTCCTGGCTCCTAGGTCGATGCTCAACCCCTGAGCCACACTGCCGGGCAGCAGTTCTTTCTAGGACATTCTCGCTATTTGGCTCTCTGGTGCGGCTCTGTCCCCTGGGTGGTCCGACAGATAACACTTACATTGATGCCAGGAGTGGTCCCTGTCACCAGGCCCTAAGCTAGGACTGGGGGGTGGGGGTGGGGGTGGCTTGGTTGTGCCCTGGGGCCTCAGGCCCTTGGCAGGCGGGTCCGTGGCGCGCGCATGAGGTCAGCCCTGCAAGGGCAGCCCAGGATGGTGCCGGGCGGCCGAGTTTCCCGGACGCACTTACGGGAGCGACGTACCCACTCGGGTCCTGGGACGCGCACTGGAGGCACAGGAAGCAGAGAGCAAAGGCGGCCCCGCGGGAACCCCATCTGCGCACTCAGGGCTGGCGCTGCCGAGTTGGCCACAGGCTCGCTCCTCACGGCTGAGGCAACGCTGGCTCATGCAGACTCCTCTCCAAGTTGCTTGTGAAGTTGTGGCTGATGGGGAAGGAACGGCCCCGACACTGGGGAGGGGGCGCCTGCTCCGGCTCAGATGAAGCCGAGAACC